TTTTTCTTTCTTTTTTTCTTTTTTTATTATTATTGCTTGTTTGTTTTAATTAACCAGAAAGTCAAATCAGTATCTTAAAATTTTCGGCTATTCACTATACAGCAAAACAACAACTATTTCAATTCAGCCATTAATAACACCTACGAGTGGGGTATATGGTTCATTTGAGTATATTAAAGAATGGTTTTACTTTCGCTATTTAAGTTTTCTCTCATTGCACCAAGATGTACCCCATGGCTTTGATGCGTGTGGCGGGAAACTTCCATCCATGTTCATTTCCACACGTATTGGTTTCATCGTGAGCCCCGCCTATACCAAATCCGATTCTGGAGTCACAGCTTTTGCAGTTGTTCTCGTTGTTACCAAGGATACCGATTCTTGCTTTCGAAGCCCCGCTTTCTTCACTAAGAGCATTAAACCCCTCCCTGTTACAGTAGTTTTGCAAAGACGCCTGTGATCCAATCAGTATCTTCCACGTGTTACGACCCAGTGAGGTGGCGCGGTATTGCCCGTCAGCGATTAGTGAGTAGAGAGATTTTGCCTGCTTGTTGATGGCAATGAAGTTGATCTGTTGGCCGATCTTCATACCAAGACAAATCTTGGAGAAGGGTGTGTTCCAGTAGGTTGGTAACTTGGTCTCTTGTGCATCAAATCCGGTCTCCCCTCCAGGAAGGTTGTACTCTATTTTATTATTCCAATACTTCGAGTCAAAGTGAAAGGTATTCTAAAAGAGAATTAGTGAATTAAATCAGGTTTCTTTCCTCTAACTGCTGTCCTTGTTGAGATTATAATCCTATGATCAGGTATTATCATTTTTTCAATAACATGACTGTTTGATGCCTTTCTGAAAGCCATATGTAAGAAATATTGTAAGTTGTTCCTCTGTGAAAAATAACCAATAGAATATTACTCCATGGTTTCAAAGCCTCAACGAGTGATCCACGTCTCTTCATTTGTCACTTAGTACAAGTTATTAACTTAACTGACTGATTTCCGTCTCGAACTTCCACATCCTGCGCATCATTGGAGTCCTGAGAAGCTGACCTCCATTAAATTCATTCACAGTAGTTTGAAAGTCTCGATTTTGGCATGAAATCATTCTGCGGCGAACGTGATTTAAAACTTGAATAGAGTTATACCTTGTTGCCGTCAATTTTCATAATCAGCGTCCATCCTCCATCTCCACATCCAAAATCTTCCAGTTGGCAGAAAACGGAAGTTGGTTTTGAGTCTAAATTGAGGGTAAACGCCTGACTCATGTCTGACCTATTAAATTAAAAAAAAAAAAAGAAAAGAAAAGAAACAAAACAAAACAAAACAAAAAAAGAGACTGATGAATTTCTCAGACTCGGTAACATTCACGCCCGACATTTATTAATGTACCCATATATCCGACAACTTTACTGTTGTGAGAGTTCTTTGGTGGTTCGGTAATTGATGTTTTTCCTCTGTCTCTAAGAGAAGAGCATTCAGTTGATTCACCGAATTTCGTTGGCTTTTAACGAGGAATTACAGCCGGTGACAGATATCACCATGTGTACGTGTAAATGACATTCCACTTACAAGTTCCTGTCATGGATTTCCTTTCACGACGAAGGTGGAACTAAAAGGTAAGAGGATCGGTTAGCTCTTCCTATATAAGTTTTGAGATAAAGTAGGTGGAAAGCTCGGTGGCCCATGGTTAGTGCATTACTCGACCCCGGAACGAGTCGCCCAGGTTCGAACCCTGGCCCCGGATATTGTGTTGTATCTTGAGTAAAACACTTTACTCACTTTAGATAGATACCGGCGAATCAATTACTGGGGAATAACCCTGTGATGGACTAACTTCCCATTCAGGAAAAGTAGAAATATTCCTAGTCGCTCCATGCTACAGGAACCGGGGGTAAGCACTGGTCTGATGGGCCACTTGGCTCATATGAAAACCCTTACCCGTGATAAGGAAGACAAACGTTTAAGAAGGTTTCAAGATGGTAAAAGAAAAAAAAATAGCATTAAACACCACAGTAATTACTTTCCTTGCAAACTGCTTCATCGATAAAATCGTGAATGCAATAACAATGATCACCTATGCTACAATTCTTTCCGTCTCCATAGAATCCAGTTTTGCACGTGCAGTTGAATGAACCCTTGGTGTTAATGCAGATGGCGTCAGAACTGCAATCATAGGTTCCTATAGCACACTCATCGATGTCTGGAAAAAAAATATATATATGAGTATATACTCCACGATTTATCTAGCTACCGATAAACTGGTTTTAAAGCTAGAGCAGAGACGGTCAGTAGTGCGCAAATGACAAGTAGAGCAGTATTTTTGAAAAAAAAAATGCTATAAGAACATCGCGAGATATACACTAACCTTTGCATTCCTTTCCGTCTCCTGAAAATCCTTGCTTACATCTGCATTGGTATGAACCTATGGTATTGTGGCAAGTAGCATCAGCACTACAGTATGGCGCCGCTGAAGAGCATTCGTTAATATCTGAAAAAGAAAAACGTCAAACACAGTCTGGTCCCATAAATAATGGTAATTAAACTGAGTGGATTGCACTTTGGTCTGAAATCTTACGCGCGTTTTCAAAATCGAACGAGCGCGCAGCGCGAGTAGGATTTGAAATTTCAGACCAACATTGCACGTTCCGAAATTCAATTGCCACTGGTTCGAGCGTAACAAAGGAAAAACACGTTCCACCTCAAGAAGTTCCTTTTCTCAAGTCATAGCCAGAGCAAAACAGTCCACTCGAATGTTCAAGTTTCGTCCTCTGACTCAATGATGTAAGCCTTTCGTTTCTTCTGTGGTTCTGGTTGAGACTTCTGTTGACGTCTTCGGAGTAGAAATTCGATTAAACGTGCAAGCTGTGTAGTTCGGTGATCAAACGAGGCTACCAGAAGAAGTGAAGGCTGCAATGCGGTACTGAAACTGCGAGGGAAAACCTAGTGAAAATTTCGAAAATCTGTTTGGAGTATTTCGGTTTTGCAGTTATTTTCATTAATTCTGGTCAATTTCATCGTAGTGGCCTAACAAAGATTAACGGGCATGACCTGTTATTTCACGCAATGTCGACCAGAACCCTTCAGTTTTAATTGACACCAATGTTTTCCTCATTCAGTGGTTTGTCAACTTCTTATTTGTCTTGATTTCCTGATATTGCCGATATTCGATTCGATTCGACATTTGTTCACTAACGACGATATATGACGCTCAGATAGAGAGGCCCTGTGTCCTTCGTTCCCTCGGGTCGCTTCGGCAACTAAAGCTTGAAGAGCCGCACTGGATCCGGTTTTTCCGGTGTCGGTGCTATACATAACTTCTGGTGTAGTTCTTCGCCTGATCGTGAGAGACCGCCGCTTCGTATTTTGGCTGGACCTTCGCGGGACTCAACTTCTTCAGCACCATCTTCTCTTCTTCTACTTTAGTGCCATCATCAAAAGGTCCACCACGTACGAGTCATAGTGTTCCTGGCGACATCGTAAGCCAAGTTGCTCAGTCACGTTTTTAAAGTTCACGTTGGTGTTAGTGGCTTGGCTTCTTCATCTTACCCTTTCCTTGCTGGCGCAGAGAAATTCTTTGCCAGTTTTAGTTGCTTGTTGAGGCCATGTTGACGGACGTCATAAGACATACACTGATGTTTTCCTTTTACTGCTCGCAGATTACTTGAAAAAATCGAAATTGTCTTATCCTTACCTTTGTCGCAGTATTCGCCTTTGAATCCAGGATAGCACAAACATCGATATCCTTTGTCTGTAAATCCTGACTGACAAATCGCGTTGTTGAGGCATGGCGGGTTGTTTCCACAAGCGTTCTTGACAATACATGGAAATAATATTATAATAG